GTATAAGACATGGAGAAGAAGACTTTAAGCTTTAGCCCGAGAGCGTTAATTCGATGCTCAAACTCTTTCGCCGTCGGTGCCATCGCGATGTTTCAATAAGCTATGACCTTGCGCAATAACCGAAAAGCTCTCTAAGCGATCCAATGAGCTATGCTGGGTTGTGCTTTTGCACTTCAGAGTCTCTCATACCAGAGTGGTCAATGGTCAGCGGCCAGACAAACACATCCTCCTGATCCTCCAAGTTGGGGGTTGGAATGAGGCTACCACCTTAATACTTAAAACGGAGTGCTTGTGGTCCAACGCCTAAGCCGCTGCCTTGCGGTCAGGTGTTTGAACCAAAGTCTTTGGTTGAGAACCCTAACCGTTCTCCTATCTAGGCCTGGGCAACCTGACCGTATCCTGCCCACACAACACCATGGACCATTCGTCAAACCATTTATTGATGCTCTGGCCACCGCAAAGGATAATCAACCGGAACATACCTACTGCAGCGAGCAAGGTGTATAGGGGTTCGGATGCTATTGCTCAAGCCTTTCCGTCTTCTTATTTCCTTTCAAACGCTTTTTCACTCTTATCGTTCCGTTGCAACTTTACTTCTATCACCCCAGGTTTTAACCTCCGCTTCCTGGCCCTCTCCCAGCCTGCGTTGCTAGGCCTTTATCTTCTAATTTCAAGTCACATGCTAATGCGTAGCCTTACTTCTCTCGTGTCGACAGGCCCATTCCAGTTCATCGACTCACATTTGGAGCCCTCGATTATACTTTAGCTTGGCATGCTTCAATGAACGCACATTACTACAGATCGGTCAAAAGGCTGCACTTGCCTGAGCATTGGAGCACCACTCGAACGATATCTGCTGCTTATCATAGACCCGCCTGCAAGATTCGAGCTCTGTGCTCGCTTTGCGATTCCCTTCAGTTGATGCAGGATGTATTTTCTCATTGCGCCTATCCCGTGACGATGCAGCTTCGAGCACCGGCCAAACTGGTATTGGCATTGGCCTGCTCCCCTGCTCTGAAGCTGCTCTGGTTGATTGGATTCCAATCATTAGCCGGATGTGTGCGGTCCGTTTGGCTGCCTCTTTCAAAGCTTCGAAGTCGCGCGGGATTATAGGTGTCCATTCATCATCGCTGCCTACGCGCCCACAAACTATAGCGTTGATTCGGTAAAGAACGACTTCTACCTCCAAATGACCCAGCTCATTCTTCACAGAAGAAGCACGGACACTGTTGAGCTGGCGGGGGACCTGCGCGCACAAGTTGGAAAGAGGTTCACTGAAAAAATGCAGCTTGGCGGACAGCACAGTGTATGCTCCCGTAATGATAACGGTGAGCGGTTACTTCATTAGTGTAAAGACGCCCGCTTATTTCTTGCGAGCGCAACCTTCCGACACAGCACTCAACGGAGGGTGTCGTTGCGTCCACCAGCCTCAAACCAGCGATGGATGCAGATCGATCACATTGCCATCAGTTACCGCTGGAGAGGCTGCATCCAGAACTGTCGCTCGATTGGGATCACATGTGTAGACACCGCTCATGCACTTCTATGTGCTGACATGCGGATGTGTAGGGCGGACGCCCAAGAAGACGCTGTGAGCGCATTGACATCAGCCAACTGGCGAAACCAGCTGTTCCGAATGCGTATCGAAGTAGCTGACATGCGGGTTGAGTAAGCCCTCGCTGGAGACAATTGGTGGTCACTGGTCTCATATTTACCAGACCTCAGTAGCAGCAGGAAACTCCTCATGTGGTATGTTTAATAGCCAACATGGATAATGTGTCGCTTCGCGGTTTCTGGAACTTATCCACGCTCGCCGGCACATCCGGACACAATGAAGTTCGCAAAGAGCTCCGGGCAAGACTCCGTGCCAGCTTGAAGAAAGACCGCGAATCTTGGTGGTCTCACTGTGCGTCAGAGATGGAAGTGGCCGCTGCCCTTGGCAACCATCGTAAGTTATTCCGTCTGATACGGGAACCAGGCAGCAGGAGAGCTGGTGTTAGTGAACCAAGTTGTGATAGAGTGGACAGCCTATTCATGATTTGTCAAAATGTTTGGAACGTTGTGCTAAGCATTTTGTAAAGCAATTTAATCGGCTAGAATTATTCGATTCTTCACCGGCCAGTGAGTACCCTGCTCCATGGGCTGTCCCTTAGGATCAACCCTCTCGCTCAGAAGTCAAACGTGGGATCAGACTGGTGAAGTTGAACAAAGCCGCGGAACCAGTTGATCTTCCTCCAACCCACTTCAAATTCGGAGCGTCGGCTCTTGTTGATGCTTTACATGAATTAATAGTGAAACCGTGGGAGCAGGAGACTGTCTCATTCGATTGGAGCAGCTCCGTTATTGTTTCCATTTTCAAAGGAAGCTCGCTTTCGGAATGTGGCAACCATGGAGGAAGCGCTTTTTTCTTCATCGCCTCCAAATTACGCGCCTCCACAATTCTTCACAGACGGACTGACACTCGTGAAAGCCAGAGTCGTGAGGAGCAAGCCAGGTTTAGTGGGGGCCATGGCTGCATCGACCACATCTTCACGTTGCGTCTGTCGTTGCAGCACCGTCACACATATTGGCGGCCCACTGTTATCGTGTTCCTCGACATCAAATGTGCCTTCGAGTCGGTTGATTGATGTGCCCATTGGAATGCCCTACTCAGGAAAGGTGTGCCAAAGAAATGTGTAAATATTATCCGAGCATTATACGCGCGTTGCACGGGCGGAGTGATGGCTTACGGCAGGCTGTCGCCACCGTTCAATATCTTCAGCTGTGTGAGACAAGGATGCCCGCTCTCACCTTTCCTCTACAATTTCGCTATTGACGAATTCATGGGGATTGCTCTTACAAGACATAACTTGGAAGGTGTGGAGATAGTCCCAGGAGAACGACTTCTTGACTGGGAGTATGCAGACGACATTGCCCTTATCTGCGACAGCTCCCATGCGCGCCAAGCCGCGCTGAACAGATTAGCACAGGCTGTCAGCCACTTCGGACTTTGCTTTGCACCATCGAAATGCAAACCGTTCCTTATAGCTTGGCAGGGATCGCCTCCTGCGCTGAGGCTTGGTGGGAATTAGCTAGGAGTGGTTCGGAAATTCAACCACCTGGGAAGTTGTATCAGCGTCCTTGGGATCGAAGACAAGAGCACGAACAGTATAGCAAAAGCTCGAAGTGCTTTTGCTAACCTTCGCCACCTATGGCGGCGACGCGACTTTACTCTCGCCCTGAAGGGTAGAGTGTACAATGCAGCGTTACGTTCTACCTTGTCGTACGGTTGCGAAACCTGGCCGCTAAGCTCGGCGGACATTAAGAGGCTAGTTATATTCAACCATCGAGGCCTTCGCAGTTTAGTACACATCTGGTGGGAACACCGCGTGAGTAACGAGCGTGTCTGCCGCCTTGTTTACGGCACAGGAAAAGAAACTGAACCGGACAGCACGGTTATTTCATGTACCAGGCGCCGATGGCTAGGCCGCATGTTGCGCGTGCCAGCCCACCGGCTTCTACGACGTGCGCTGTTTGCTCACCGGAGTTGTGAATGGAATAAGAGGAGGAGCGGTCAAGCGACGAGTTGGTCCAGTGGAATGAAGGCCATCACTTCGGAGCCTCGGTTGGAGCGTCACGGCTCCCTGGTTGGGGTCCAAAAGAAGGTGAACATGTTTGGCTGGATACACTTGCTGACATGGCAGGGAGCCGACATCAGTGGCGTTTGTGCTGTGAGTTTCTTTGTCCCACCCCATCCCTTTTAGCCTTCCCACCATCCAAGATCTCATTTCGTAACGTAACACATAATAATTTTTCTTTTTGCCCAGTAGCCGGCTGTTAGCTTACCGAAAGAATGACTATCCGTTGATGGTAGCCCAGCTGGCATGCAACTGTTGTATTTATTTTCCGTTTCCTTTATGCATTCCGGCACAATAGCGGAGGTGTTTCCCGCCTCTGGCTGATGTTTAAAATGATGGTGCTTATGCCGAAACCCGGTCAGACCGGGGTTTGTGCAACTTTAAGGGGTGGAAACAAAGGATTGGCGCTTAGTATGGCGAACCAGTCCAGTCGAAGCAGAACCAATCTGACCCATCAGTAGACAATATGTGAGGACCCAGTCGCCCTGATGCTGCGCGTTTACATGGAAAAGCTATTTAACTTACGTAACCGCTCCGTGCACCATTTTCATCCCATACCGCAGGACTCATTCAACTGCCATTTTCTCACGAACCAGGCATGGGGGTCGAGACTGAACGCAGTATTCCAAGTGCGGCCTTAAAAAAGCCGAAAATAACCTACGAATGTTTCTGTGTTCATGATCCCTAATGACCTGCTTATCATCCACAACATGTTAGAACCTTTGCTAGCGGCAGCCGTCCACTGTTTACTGGGCTTATAGCCTGACGACTGCAAAACACAGAGTTTAGATTGGAGTTGAACCCGCGGTACCTCGTTGCCGCTAAGCAATTAACGCGTCGGCGGGTCAACCGGACCAAAGCGTAAAACTGAACATTTCGCTAAACTAACGGGTAGCTGCAAACAAAACTGAACTGTTCCAAAGTATATCCAGATCCCTTTGTAGGGTCAGCGGACCAATCGGGTCGTCTATCGATACCCAGAGTTTCAAAGCATCCACGAACATTAGGGCTGCCACACCCCGTTCATCAGGTAGGTCATTAACATATAAAGTGAAGAGAAGGGGGCCAAGGACCGTAGCTTGCGGAATGCTACTGAGAACACATTCGCGGAAGGAAAAGCTTGAGCCCTCGTGCACACACATTTCCCTTCCGAGTAGGAAAGTTGAACTCCATCGTAACACTGGTCCAGAAGTAACTAAATAAATAAATAAGTTATTCTCGACGAAACGAGACACACCAGTACATGCATGAGCAAGTTGCTGACAGGGCAATAGAAATGCTAGAAGCTGGTGTACACACACAACAAAGATACGTGTTGGCAAATATAGAGCTTGAAAATTGCACGTAATATTACACAGGAACGATGGGGGCATCTGTTGCTAAATCTGCGCCTTCACGCGTGCTCTGATTTACGCCTTGGCAAACCCGACCGGAACGAAGACAGAAGACTACTCAGCAGACCAGAGTTGTATTAAGGCAAAGAACGGTCATATTTATATGTCACTATCACCAGGCGGATTTGGCTCTAAGCCCACGCTGCACACCTACTTGTCCGCTGCATCTGTCCGATTCACCGTGTTGCTCGGGTACTACAGTCTTCGTTCGCCTACCCGGCGCATGGCAACGCACGTGATGTCTGACGCGTGATTTCATCAGCTTCCGGTCTGGCCTTGGCAACACGCCTGGTGTCTGATCAGATTTCGGCTGGGCCCTGGTAACACGCTCGTAGAGTCCTTCCCAAGCACGCTTGGTGGTAAACGCGCGAGCGTCGGCTCTCAGCTTTCTCGTCCAACTGTCACCTCCCCTTCCGAATTGAGTCAGCCTGCACACCCTTCGAACCTGAGTGTGTTCGTAGCTTTTCGCCCGGGGATTGATTTGCAGCCGTTGTGGCCTTCTCCGCTTCCGCGCCGGCCTGCATGGTGCATCTGATTTCTGCGGCATTTGTTTCGTCTCACCTGGTTGCTGACATTCAGCTTCCAACCCGAACGTGTCTAGTAGGATGTCCCAATGTAAAGCTGGTGGTTCCTGAGGACCTTGGGTTTTGCCATGATTCGGTCTCAGCTGATTGATGTGCCTAATCCATCTCTCACGTCCAACCATCACCTCGTAGATAACTCTGCCTTTCCTTCCGATAACCGTTCCACTAGACCACCCCTTCGGCCTTCGAAAATCCCGGGCGTAGACCATGTCACCAACATTGAAGTTACGGAGCTTGATCTTGCAATCTTCCTCCTGGTGACTGTTGCCGTGCTTTTCTATTCTTCTTGGTAAAAGATTATCAAACAACGTCCGGATCTTTCTTCCAAATAGTACTTCTGTGGGGGCTTTCCCATCAGGGGAGTTTGGATTCGGAGCGTTCCGATACATGCATAGAAAAGCTTGAATTGCATCCTGTGAAGCCCTTTTTTGCCCTGCTTTACAGAGTGCACGTTTGAACGTGTCCACAAACCTTTCCGCCTGTCCGTTTGATTGAGGATGATATGGTGGTGAGAACATCTGATGAATTCCCTTTTCTTTGCACCACTCGCGAAAAGAAGTCGAGGTAAATTGTGTTCCATTGTCTGTCACTAACACCTCTGGCAGGCCGAAGTATCGGAACAGCTTCTCCAGCTCGTTGATAGTGTGCTGTGCAGTCGGATTGTTTACCGGAATCACATCAGGCCACTTGGTGAATGAGTCAACCAAAACGAGATAGGATTGGCCATTGATCGGTCCTGCATAGTCTACGTGTATTCGTTGCCACGGTTTCTCTGCCTTAGGCCAAGGTTGCCACTGACACTTGGGAGGAGCCTTCGCTGCAAGTTGACAAGATTCACACTGTTGGCAGAATTTTTCAATTTCCGAATCCATTTCTGGCCAGTAAACAAAGCTGCGTGCCAAGGCTTTCATGCGGCTGGTACCAGGGTGCCCCGTGTGGAACTGCTGCAATATTTGCCTCTGCAATTTCCTTGGCACCACCACTCGATCTCCAAACATCAGACAATTGTCCACGACTGACAGGGATGCACGTCGATGGTAAAACGGCCGCAACTCCATAGGTATGCCTCCATTTGGCCAACATGTTCGTACCCAGTGCATCGCTTTCTCCAAGATTCTGTCCCGTGATGTCTCCATACGAATAGTGTCGGCTGTTACTGGTAGTCTTCTCACATTATCAGCCAGGATTCGTTGGACTTCTGCTTCGAAACTGATAGCTGCAATCACACAATCATCATTCTCCTTTGGGTGTGAACTGATGAGACGAGACAGGGCATCCGCTTGACCGATTAGTTGCGTCGGTTTATACTGTATACTGAAGTCGTAGGCCAGTAGTATGGTCGCCCATCGTTGCAATCGGTTTGCCGTAAAAACTGGAATTCCTTTCTTTGAACCGAATATCGACAGAAGAGGCTTGTGGTCAGTCAGGAGCGTGAAATGTCTGCCATACAGCATCTTATGGAACCGTTTCATTGCGAAAACAATCGCGAGCGCTTCCTTCTCTATCTGGCTATAGTTCTTTTCAGCTGGCGTTAGTGACCGTGCTGCGTGCGCGATAGCCTTCTCTCCTCCATGCGGAAAAACGTGGGAAATAACTGCACCGACACCATAATTTGAAGCATCCGTAGCAACGACAATTTTGAAATTCGGATTGAAGTGAGTCAAGAGTAGATCGGAAGTGAGAGCTTCTTTGACTGCATCAAAAGACTGCTGGCACTCCTTCGTCCATTTCCAATCCTTGTCTTTTATCAGTAGCTGGTTCAGCGGTCCTCTGGTTTGGTGAAGGCTTGGTAGGAAAGCACTGTAATGGCTAACGAGCCCAAGAAAAGAGCGGAGCTCTGCAATGTCTTCTGGTGGCTTCATCTTTTTGATGGCTTCAATATTGGCGGGATCCGGGCGCCGGCCATGTTTGTCGATGATGAACCCAAGAAATTTGACACTTTCTAATAGGAACTCACATTTTTCAGCCCGTAATCGGAATCCAGCTTCCTGAAGACGCGAAAGCACTCTCTCCAGTGTCTGTATCAAGTCTTGCGGATCTGAGCCCATAATCAGCGCGTCGTCCAGGTATACTGCTGTATTTGGGATATCGCTCAGCAGGGTATCCATTATTTGTTGAAAAATGGCCGGTGCGGTTTTCACTCCAAACGGCAGCCGGTTGTACTGAAAAAGTCCGAGGTGGGTATTTACTGTCAGCAATGTTCTGCACTGATGGGCAACTGGGATTTGCAAATACGCATCAGCTAGGTCAAGTTTTGCGAAACATTTCCCCCCATTGAGTTTGCTGAACAAGTCTTCTGGTACCGGCAGGGGATACTGATGATCTTCCAACACAGAATTCAAACCTGTCGAGAAATCAGCACAAATACGGACTTTACCGTTTCCTTTCTTTACCACCACGATAGGTGCTGCCCATTCGGAATAGTGAACTCGTTCGATTATCCCTTCAGATTGTAGTCGATTTAACTCGGCTTCCACTAAAGACTGGGTTGCGTAGGGCACCGGGCGTTTCGGTCTAAAGACTGGCTTGGCGTCTGGTTTAAGGTTCAATGAGGCAGTAGCTATGTTGCAGCATCCGAGACCAGGTTGAAACAATGCATCGTGACGTCGTTTTATCTCGGCAATCTGACTTTGGAACATCGGGCTTGAAGGTGACGGTTGTGACAGCAGATTGACTTGCGGTGGCTGACATATACTGTTCACTGATTGATCAAGCAGTTTCAGTTCATCCATCCAGTCGAGCCCCAACAAATCTAACCCCGGCTGGTCTGTCACGAAACATGTCGTCTGGATTTGTTTATCGCGAAAGTTTACCTGACAATTCAGTTCACCCAGCAATTTCAACGTACCTCCTGAAGCATTCCGTGCCGTGTGGTCCGTTTGTATGAGT